TTACGAAGATATTTTAGGAACGGACGAATTTATTCGAGCATATAATGTATATTTTTGATCAAAATGTTGAAACCCGTGTAGGTAGATACAATGATATGACCTTCAGCAAACGATTCTCTACTCAATGTTAAATATTTAACGTTAGTCACTTTAGGATACAGTATTAGAAATGAATGCTGCATGAAAATGATTAAAACTCGAAACACTTTCTCTTACAGATACGCCCTCGTTTGTCCGATGGTTGAATTCTTGTGTTAGTGTAAGACGCTTTTCTAGCTGTCCTATTTTGACTCAGTTGAGAACATCCTGAAGAAGAACACATCGTTCATTTTGGACCAAACACAGATGGACACCGAGAGTAGTGTGTATCGAAGTACATTAGCTTGGAATCTTTACAGTTCTTTATCGATATTTAATCTAAGTTTTTGTAGCTTGATCACTTACGAATGGCTTCAACAATAGAATCATAAAAACAAGGAAAGAAGTAGAACTAAGCAGCAGTATTTAAAGCAGGCAAAAAAAGAAACAGAAAAACTGGAAGTCAAAAATGCAGAAAAGAACGGATATTGATCGATTCTCTTGAATTAACTTTTAATGTTTGTTGACAAAGAATATGAATCAGATAATGGTCAAGTACTGTACATAGAGTAGAGACATTTTGCCACTAGTTTAGCACTCAGCTAGCTCTAGAAGACTGGTATTCATAATCTACTGGTCGTATCAGTGCAACAACCAATGAAGAAGCATGTGTAAATCTAGCATCTGATACAATGTTTATGTAACTATTCTGCACATGCAAGTATATGTAGAAATATTGTATCGTAAATCAACATCATGACATGCGAGTTTTTTTAATGTTCTTTTTTATGTGACCGAAGACCCTAAGCTATTTTTACTCTTTTTTCGCCTCTTCAAGTTCACAAGAACGACTGATAAAATAATCTTATAAATACAGTAATAATCTCTCTTATTTGTTACTGGTTTAGTCAAATCTATCGGGTGTCATGCTTTTCGTACACGATAGTTAAGTTAATTTAGTGCCTATGAGATAGAAAAAGACAATTGAATGACATACGAAATTCTTCTTTTTTTATGTAAGTTTTAAGTGAGGAAAGAGAGAATATATTCCATGATAACAGACTTATAGAGAAAAGGAAGGATTGAATATAGAAAAAGCCAGTAGTGAAACAATACACTCTTTTTGATATCTATAGCTACATAATCACCTATGTTTCTTTAAGCCATTGTAAAGCCACTGACGACATATTTTTAATAATAAATATGATTTCAACTTCTTACATGGCAATATTTACAATATATATCTATTGACTTTGTTCTTGATTATTTTCTCCTTGTCCAATCATGCCTAAGTAATCCATTTCTGTGCCTGATCTCACTGTAGTATGTCATAGTATCGTAGAATTTTCGAAATATATACGAATTCACTAGCAGATCTCGCCATTAATGCATATCATACAGCAAGTCTCGAAGATTTGTACTCTCTATAGGTACACAATATTTTGTTTGAGAAAAGTCGTTTTTTTCTTTGTTACGAAGTTATCTTTTTTGTAAACCTTATGCTTTGGAAACGTCTCGACAAAGTGATCGATTCTATGTTACAAATCGATAGCTCATCAATTTTTTTGTACAAAAAAGTGCTCTCATTCTAGTTTTGGAATTTCATGCATCGTTTAGTTCTTTTCATTGATCTAAAAATGGCCACTTCAGTAACCCAGTGGAAGTTAAACGGTTAGGTAGAACACCAGTGACCCCCGTCGATGGCTATGATAAAAACAAATCATAGCGCCAAATAGAAACTATTGTATCAGCATGAAAACTTACATATACGGACGTTTCTCGTTCAGTCTTTTACTGTCTTTCAAAGGTCATAAAACATATTACAAATTGACTTATGATCATCGTTTAGCTAGTGCTACTTGTTCAGGTTTAACATATAGACTATGAGAACTTTAGTTAACTTATCTATTTTGGATCGATTGAAACCGATGTTTGCCAAACCCAATATAGAAAGTGATTCATGAGCTTCTATTTGATACTTTCCGATGCTCTTCACTCATATTAGCAATGCATACAATCGATTCTACTTACTCGGATATGTACAGCTAAAGCTTATAGTTAATCATCAAATTTCTTGTTCGACACAAGAGAAAATCTTCTGAACTATTTGTTTTTCTTGAACTTGATGCTTTGAACACAAGTAGAAAATCTCGAAAACAGAGTACTCATGATTTGGTTCACTAGTCTGAACCGTAGGAAATGAGTTATTGCTGCTACACAAAAACTGTTGACCTATGACCAGGTTGCATGAGCAGTCAATCATTTTATTTTTGACATATATCCTGTAGAAAGTCAAAAATTTTGCATAAGAATCACAATCCTACTTCAAAAGTGAAATGCATTTGAACTATTCAAGTTTCAAGACTCTCTGTTAAATACGAAATCACAAGGCCAAAAATGAATATATAAATTGAGAAATTTCTTCGTCAATGAAGACTCACTGACTAGAGACAGACAATATCAAACAACATCCAGAGTTTTCAAGAAACAAGATGTTTTCATTTATATCTTTTTAGGACAAAGTATCTGGAAAAGTGTTCGTGCATTATCACATACTTCTATTCAATACTTTACTGATTTAAATATGTTTCCGTCGACACCACCCTCAACCAACCGATATGAGTTGCGAACCCAACGTATATCTACTAGAACATTCATCGTGTTACTTGTTCTTTTGTTCACCATACTTCTCATCTACACATCAATAGTGAATGTCATTAAAACAATCAGAGTCCAAGTCCCTGATCTCAATCAATACAAACAACTTTACTTTCGATATCCAGAAACCTTGGTATGCCCTTGTACAAAGATATCAATCAACTACAATACGTTTCTAGATGTCAACCACACATTGCATCAAGTATGCAGTAGTTATTTTGTTACAGATCAATGGCTTTTCTTTATTGTTAACTCTTTGGGTGAATGGCGTTGGACAGATGATTTTCGAATCACAGGCCGCCAAGCATTCCAAGCACTAAGAGCGCTATGTGAGTTAATCAAACAATCAATTTCCGAGAATCTCTTACAATTTTATGCAAGTAACTATGTAAGTGCTTTTGCTACACCAGTAGATCTATTTCAATCACAATCTGAAGCATACATTCAACAGTTCATCTCGACAACAACCAACAGCTTCTCACTGTCGCTACGTCTAATACGTGATACTACTCAAGTTAACGCTCTACTCTCAGCACTCAGAACCAATTGCCAACTCTATGTGCCGAATGGAACAGAAGATGTATACTATGAGTTAAAGATGTACGATAACGGATGTAGATGTGCCTCTAGTAGTACATGTTCTACAAAATCAGTCATTTATGAGAATAATAACCGTTTATTACCATGGCCAGTACCGGGTTTCTATACTGGATGTTTTGTATTGGAATCTTTGCGCCAATCAAGTCTTGAATGTCTGTATGATGAAACATGTTTGGTTGAATTACAATATCGCATGGAATCGACGTCATCTATGAGTGCAACAGTATTGAATTCATCGGCATCAAGTCACTTTTTGATGAATACCACGATTGGAGCTCTTTTAGATCAACTGATGGTGGAAGAGTGGAAGTGGTCGATGACCTATGAGAATTACTATGAAGTTTGTGAACCATCAGAGTGTAGCTACACACTTACGACTAAAAATGAAGCTATCTACATAGTCACAATACTTATTGGTCTGATTGGAGGCTTGGTAACAGCTTTGAAACTCATCGTTCCACGGGCAGTTATCATCATAGAAAAATACATTCGAAGAAGAAAAATAAATATTGTAAGAGAAATACCTAATACTGTACCAAAAGTATTGGATTAAAATGAAGAATTCTATTTAAAGCATTCGTAATTGTAATCAACGCTTTTGTATTTCCTTCTCTGCTTTTGTGTTCTTGTGGATGTAGCTCATCTTCTAAACTCGCTTTCGTCTTGATGTTAAACAGATTATTCTAACCTTAGTATAATATATTTATGAAATATCTATGTATGTGATCATGACTAGACACCAACTATGCGTTTTGGTAAATAGGTATGCTCCTCTCAAACATGCAAACCAATTAAAAATTAAATAGCTGTAGGCGATTTGAAAATTTATCTTTGTATCCATAAGTAACAATTCTGTGCACTGACTAAACTCTTTCCTGAATTAGAAAGCTAGCTATATGATGGTAGTCTAATAGTTCAGGAGAGACTTGCAATTACTTTTATCCAACTTTTGCTAAAGAAAAGTGTGTATCAAAGTAGAAACTTGTGTTGGAGAGTGTCAGCATGTGGATGAACAGAACATACACCTCTCAAACTCATACCCACAACCAACAAACTACAATCCAATTTTTTTATAACTTGATAGACTTATTGTTTGTGGAAAAGAAGTATTTTCATAGTATTCATTTGAAATAAGATAAATGATGATCCAAGAATAAAATCTGTCTATAGTAAGAAAAATTGCAGTTACGGATGATGATCAACGATACTTAAATCAACAAAGAAGATTCAATTGTTCATAGGATGAAATTTTAGTTGTTTGCCCTTCGAAACACGATTCCATTCAAATCAAATGTCATAATCAGTAAAAAGAATCGAAATCAAATATAAATCAAAGTAATGCATTATAAATATTTTCGGAATAAATTTACAACGTTTATTGTTTGTTTAAATTTAGTAAATCAAATCATGTGAACACCACAAATGTGTAAAGTCAATGACACTGAACAATAACAAATGGACGTATGTGAACAAGCATTTATTGAATAACTATATTAGACTTCGTTTAGTTCTAAACTTATGTAATAATAGTGCTTACCAATGATATTATTAAATAAAAGGATTGCATCATAACTTTGACTTCTTTATGTTTATCAATAGCACATCTGTTCACATTGTTGAATTAAGTTATGTTCTTTTTTATGCTGAGACTTCCAAATTGTTATATGTTATATGTACTCGATTTTAATAACAGATTACGTTTACATTTAATTGATACACCTGATATTGGTGACGTGCGAGGAATCCATCAAGATGTGAAAATTATGGATCAGATGCTGACTGACATCAATAATTTATGTCATTTAAATGCTATTTGTTTATTACTCAAATCAAATGCTTCTCGATTAAATGTTTTTTGTCGTTCATGTGTTAATCAACTATTAATTTATTTAACATCAATTGGTTATAATAATATTATTTTTTGTTTTACAAATGCTCGAAGAACTTCCTGTGCATCATGTGACATTGATATATCTATGCTAACTCGACCTCTTATAGAAACATACGTTTAATAAATTATCATTCGAAATTATATTAAGCTAAATTAATTGCTAATGAAATGATATTAAACACAAATCCAGTGGATACTGACATGTGTACTTATTGTACGCAAATTAATATCGTCGACGTATATAGGTCCATCTTGGTTAACTCAATATAAACCACCCATTTTGAAAACTAATACAAATCAACATCATTGCTATTCAAAAAATGGAAGACATGTTTTAATTGGATCTATCGTAACAAATGAATTTGTTGCACAATCAACAGATCTTAAAAATAAACGATAGCAAAATTCTTTTCAGAATTTTTTATTTAAATGTGATCGACTTTTTCATTTCTTACAACAACAAGGACTGTCAAGTCAGATTGATCCATTTCTACCTATATTCAAACGATTTCTTAAAGAAGAACAACAAATTTCTCAGACTTGTAATATAAATTCGAATATGAACGAATAAGCACATGAAGTATTCAACTCGACAAAAACAAATACATCAAGAAAATAGTCAACAATTATTTGGATCAAATGAAAGCCTTTCATTTGACCAAGCCTATCAAATAATTAGTGAATTGGTAACCATACCAAGAGTTAAGAAACAAATCAATGGTATTAAGAGAAATCGTCAATTAAAAATGCAAGAACATGAATGTAGAATATAGTGGCGTATTCAGATGGGGACTGGAGGAGCCTCAGCCCTCCCCTCCCCCCACGGAGAGTTTAGCACCCTCTACGAAAATTCCTTTTCTTGTATCTTTGCTAATTAACACACTTATTATTTGCAGCATGCAGTGTGGTTTATTTTATTTCTATGTAATAGGATATCAAAAGATAATCAATAATTATTCTTTTTTTGAATCTTTAGACACTTCTTGTAAACAAGAGTGTAAAAGTTAGTGTAGGGTCAAAAAAGTAATATGTTTAAAAAGATTTGCATGCAAAAGAATAGTTAATTTAATTGTACCTTGTGAAGAATGAATCGTTTTGTGCACGCATTTTTTTATTACAATATAACACTTTCATTGAGCACAGATCGTTAATTCATGCAAAATAATAAGAGAATGACCTTTAATTCTTATTTTCCTTTATTTGCGGAAAAGAAGAGTAAGCCTATACATTCGAGCTTTGATCATAGTATCAATAATGAAAATGTTATTTTACAATCATTTGATTCATACATATCTGTCACTATTGACAAACTTGCTACAATTTCTCAAATAAAATCGTCTCAAAATCAGAAATGCAGTATCTGCTGGTGTGTGCGAATCTGCGTTTGGAGAAATCTTTTCCAATGAGAGAAATTTTCAAAAATATTTTGTTTTTGAGACACGTTTTTGAAAACTATTGTCTAGGAATGCTTGTTTGAAACTATTGAGTCTATAGAAACTCTTCCATCTTGTTTTGCATTCGAGGCAGTGTCCCTTTTTACAGTAGATTCTGCACCTCAGCTCAAAATGCTACCATTGAAAACGAACAAAACATATACCTTAAAGAAAAAACTTAATAGTGAAATATCTACTGATATTTTATTGACATCATTCATTCATGTCAAGATTCACCGACTCAACCAAAGCTTATTTCTTATCCAAGAAATCATGAAAATCGATCATTCATGGTGACTTGGTTTCATGAACGACCATGACTAGAATACTCAATCCAAAGAAGTCGTAATTACTGTTATTATTGCTGTCATTTCAGTGTATCAATGTCATCATCAAATAAAATGTCTCAAACTGATGCATCCGTCAATAATGGATTTCAACATTTGAAAAAAGCTCTTGATAAATTAAAAGGCTTTCATCAACATTTAAAAACTCACAGTCGTATTTTAGTAGGAAGCAATTATGCAGTTGATCTACAAAAGGCACAATCACAAGCAATATTATATATATGTTAGACAAAGGTGGAATAAAACAGATACCTCGAAACCGAGAGCGACTAACGAAAATTGCATCAGTCTTATTATATGTATTTATACTTCTTTATTGTTTTCGTTACATTGTCCAAAAAGAGTTCAAATCCTTTATATTCAGCTTCATGAAAAATACGGAGCTGAGCGCCCACGCCCCCCTCCCCCCTTACGAGATTTTCTGGCTACGTCTCTAGTTTGAACCACGCAAGTTCTACTAGCACAGAGCAGATGTTCTTATCAGTTAGACTAGAAGTTAGTAAGAGTTCCCGATTTTAGAATCACTACAAAATATTCTAATTGTAACTTCATGCAATATAATCGACAGATAATAAAAATTTGAGCATATGCATAACTCGATGTGCTGGACAAAAGTTTTAAAAGATCAAGAGACTGGATACTCTTTCTGAGCTGTAAACCATGCGTGAAGAGCGAAAAAAATTGTTGATGCTACAAGAAAAATATTCGTACATATTTCTACTGACAGATAGAAAGTAAAAGAAAAAAAAATTATGCATTGCTGCGTATACTATACATAAGTGCAACAATATCTTCGTTCTCCTCTTGATTTTTTCTGCGTATCTGGACGTCACCAGAGCGATTGATTCAGTCACAAGCATGTTGTTTATCGAAAGTCACACCCGATATCATTCGATTTTTATTCATCAGCCCTTCAAGTCTACTGGCCTGGTATACCTTTTCAGATAGTTTTAAAAATAACTGAAGTACTATTTGAACGCAGTAAGTTTCACAGTCAAGAAACTACTTCTGATAATGTCGATTATCTACGTATGATTGGAGCTGGATTATCAAGAACGGGTACGACATCAGTCAAGGCTGCTCTTGAACTACTCGGTTTTGGTCCTTGCTATAAAATGACCGAATTATTTAAGCAGCCTCAACAAAGCATACTATCTACACAAGCATTAGATGGACATAAGACAGACTTTTATGAATTAATGAAAGGACATGGATCATCAGTAGACATTCCAGAAGCTCTATTTTACAAATAATTTCATTGAATTTATCCTAAAGCCAAAATCATACTTACAGTACGTGATAGTAGTGAAAAATGGTTTAAAATTTTCAAGAACACTATTGGACCTATAGGCTTGGATATGTTTTACTTTATTTCCGTTTATCCTATTCAAAATTTGCGCTTATGATGTGTTTTTGCTAGAAAGCTGTTTAAATAGTGGATTATTGAATACGATGAAATCGGCCGTAAACTCTATGAATTATACGATGCTGACGTAATCAAAGAATGTAAACAAGAAATACTTATATTCAATATTAAAGAAGGATGTGAACCATTATTCAAATTTGTGAATGTGTCGATTCCAAAAGACATTCCATTTCCTCATGAAAACGACACTAAACATATTAAAAATATGATTTTTGCAGCTAAAGCAATGAGATGAACTGCTTGGACGTTAATTGCTCTAGCAATAACTGTTGCGATTAAGTTCTTTTCTTGACTGATTCATTTTTAATAATTCTGAACTTTTTATTAACAAGTGACGTAGGAACTATAACAGATCGCTATCTCAACTAATATACATTGAATTAATTCGCTTTTTTTGCTCATTCTAATGTGATTTTAGAGAAACCAACTAGCTATATAATATTAGAATCACAGTGCTATCATTTTTTTTTGCTTGTTTAAAAGAAAAAATCTGAAAAACTTCGCAAAGTTGTATTAATAGATTCCTAGTTATCATAAATAAAACTTATCTTCTTCATAAAAACAGCTAGTGTTTCCTGTAATAGATTTCATTTGAAAGCCTTGAATTTCGTATCGAATGATTCATTACTAATATATAAAATGAGCATGTTTTTAAGTTGTCAAAATGGTCGTCTTTTGTGAATGAAAAAAAAACTGCTTAATTACGTTTAATTGGCTTTTTACATGCATATCACAAGTAACGATCAAAAGAAAAACAACTTTTCTTCTTATTTATGATAAACATTTTTTTTTACACAAAATTCAACGTAAATATTTTTCTACATAATCATACATAACATGGTTACATTGCTAATCAATAATAATAAGACAAATATGTCAACCATTCATGAGAATATTTAACCATTATTTGATCAGGGTTTCGAATCAATGAAGCATATCATTATGAAAAAATATCGCATACATTAATAGTCAATACTCAGTCGTCGCGTGTTTTCAATATTTATTCTTTATTTTCCAAATAAGTATATTGTTTCCTTCATCGATAATCTTTTCACAAAAGATATATAACAATAGAAATTTATTTTTACTCAATAAAACATATTGATTTGTATGATTAATTTCCATTTGAATCAGAATTTCTTTTCTTTTGTATTAAGATAATTCTTAATTAGAATAAATGTACAAATGGATTCAGCTATAAATGAATATTGTACAAAAATTTCTAATCAAAGACAAACAATATTACCTGAACAACTTAAAACTTTATTTGATTTAATTGTTATTGAATTAAATAAAAATAATAATAATTTAACAATTGATAATGATTATTGTAAAATAATTGATACATTAAAAAATTTGCGTGGTGTGACTTTAATCGATCAATTAATTGTTAATAATGAACTTTTTCATCTAATACAAAATTTCTTAATGAATATATTAAATAAATGGTTTAAAGATGGTATTATTTTAACTGATAAAGATGAATATCTATTTCAAAAAATCGTTGAACTGTTTTCTAAAATGATAGAACATTTACGAAAAACAAATCAAGTTTCATCATCAACTTTTAGAACATGGTTTTTAAATGAATCATTTTTCAAAACAATAGCTTCAGTATTAGAAGATATATCGATTAATTCATATAAATATTTGGATCAAGATCAAACTATGCGAAGTTTAAGTATGTTGATAGAATCGATTGAAAGTTTTCAAGCTAGTAATGATCTTATTCGAAATAATCCAACTGTATTATTATTAGTTGATCCTATAATAAAATGTCTTTGTTCTTCAACTTATATAAATACATTAAAACAAATCGATATTAAATCAAGTGATCGAAATGCATTTGAAGATTTTATACTAGGTACATGTCCATGTTATTGTGCATGGAATAGAGGAAAAGGTCAAATAATAA